GAGAAAAACAAGATGCTCCAAAAGTACAGAGGAATGACACGAGCCACCCTTTCATAACTTGCAAGATATAAAAGTTAACTGATGTACACACCACCACAAATTAAATTTAAAAAAGTAGAAGAAAAATACTAGGAAATATAGTAATGTATTTGTGACAGCGTTTCAATTGAATTAAATCCTCTAAATAACTTGAAAATATTAACCAGGCTTCCTACCTGAGAAATGGTTTTAATTCCATGCTTGTTTAAAAGCTTTCTATAGAACTGTTCTGTCTTTTCAGGAGTTGAATTGGGTTCGTCCTTCGTAAATAAACAGATATCTTCTAAATCCGAGCGAATACCGTGAGGTAAGGGCCTACAAAATACGTGAAAAGAAACTGAGGAAAGCATTATTACAGACACTGTGCATGTTTGTATTATACAGAATACACAATAAACTTAGTGTCATTTAAGTAACTTTAGTCATGCTAGTTAAGCAAATATTGCACCGAGACCAACATTTAAAAATACATCTCATGGCCAGGAGTGGTGGCTCACACCTGTAATCCCAGCACTTTAGGAGGCAAAGGTGGGTGTATCACCTGAGGTCAGGAGTTCGAGTTCAGCCCGAAAACATGGTGAAACTCCCTCTCTACTAAAAATACAAAAAATTAGCTGGGCATGGTGGCGCGTGCCTGTAATCCCAGCTACTCAGGAGGCTGAGGCAGGAGAATTGCCTGAACCCAGGAGGCGGAGGTTGCGGTGAGCCGAGATCGCACCATTGCACTCCAGCCTGGGTAACAAGAACGAAACTCCGTCTCAAAAAAAAAAAAAAAAAAAAAATTAGTTGGGAGTGGTGGCAGACACCTGTAAAACCAGCAACTTGGGAGGCTGAGGCAGAAGAATCGCTTGACCCCGGTAGGCAGAGGTTGCAGTGAGCCCCAATCACACCACTGCACTCCAGCCTGGGCAACAAGAGCAAAATTCCATCTCAAATAAACAACAACAACAACAACAACAAACACCTCACTTGCAATAGCAAGCAAATCACAAATATACACAGGCCCAAACATCAATTAACACTTGGGATAGGCTGGGCGCGGTGGCTCAAGCCTGTAATCCCAGCACTTTGGGAGGCCGAGGCGGGTGGATCACGAGGTCAAGAGATCAAGACCATCCTGGTCAACATGGTGAAACCCCGTCTCTACTAAAAATACAAAAACATTAGCTGGGCATGGTGGCGTGTGCCTGTAATCCCATCTACTCAGGAGGCTGAGGCAGGAGAATTGCCTGAACCCAGGAGGCGGAGGTTGCGGTGAGCCGAGATTGTGCCATTGCACTCCAGCCTGGGTAACAAGAGCGAAACTCCGTCTCAAAAAAAAAAAAAAAAAAAAAAACAACACTTGGGATATAACACGAATTAAAATATCAAAGACATCCAAATTCCTGCACATATAATTATTATTAACCTAGCTTCATCAGGACAGGCCTGGTTCAGAATTTTACCTTCTGTAAAACTCTTAGCTCCATAATGATAATAACTTTTTCTTTTTTTGTTGTTGAAACAGGGTTTTGCTCAGTTGCCAAGGCTGGAGTGCTGAGGTACGATCGTAGCTCACAACAGCCTCTAGCATAGCCGAGCCTACAGGCATGTGCCAGCTGGACATGGGACCAGATAACTTCTGTATTTTTCATAGAGATGGGGTTTTGCCAGGTAGCCTAAGCAGGTCTTAAATTTGTGGGCTCAAGCAATCCACCTCACTCAGCCTTCCAAAATGCCAAGATTATAGTTGTAAGCCACCACATTGGGCCAACATAACTTTTTTTTGAGATGGAGTCTCACTGTCACCCAGGCTGGAGTCTCTGCAACCTCTGCCTTCTGGGTTCAAGCAATTCTTGTGCCTCAGCCTCCCAAGAAGCTGGGACTACGGACGCCTGCCATCATGCCCGGCTAATTTTTGCATTTTTAGTAGAGATGGGGTTTTGCCCTGTTGGTCGAGCTAGTCTCGAAGCCCTGGCCTCAGGTGATCTGCCGGCCTCAGCTTCCCAAAGTACTGGCATTAGAGGTGTGAGCCACTGAGCCCAGCCCAAAACAACTTTTAAGAATTGAAGGTCAGGAACGGTGGCTCATCCCTGTAATGCCAGCACTTTGGGAGGGTGAGTTGGGTGGATCATACAGTCAGAAGATAAGAGACCAGCCTGACCAATATGGTGAAACTCCACCTCTACAAAAAAATATAAAAATTAGCCAGGCATGGAAGCATGTAGCTATACCACATATAGCTATAGTCCTAGCTACTCCGGAGGCTAAGACAGGGGAATCGCTTGAACCCTGAAGGCGGAGGTTGCAATGAGCCGAGATTGTGCCATTGCACTCCAGCCTGGGGGACAGAGCAAGACTCTGTCTCCAAAAAAAAAAAAAAGAAAGAAAAAAAGAACTGAAACAGTTAAAACAGGCCAGGCACGGTGACTCATGCCTGTAATCCCAACACTTTGGGAGACTGAGGCCGGAGGACTGCGTGAGCCCAAGGCCAAGACCAGTCAGGGCAACATCTTAGGAAGCTGAGGTGGAAGGATGACTTGAGTCAGGGAGCTTGAGGTTGCAGTAAACACAGCTCTCACTACTGCACTCCAGCTGGGCAACAGCACAAGACCCTGTGTCTTTAAAAAAGAGGGAAAAGAACTGAAACCAAAAAACATGAAATAAACATAAACCAGGGGGACCAGCAAACATAATTATGCTGCATCTCACAGAAAATAAAATACAAGAGTTTGGCTCATTTCTTGGGCTTACAACGTATGTTCTGAAGAAGCATTTTATATAACCACCATGGATGTCTTTTTCATACAAAGGCGTCCACTGCAGTTTTTTTATTGTCTGTGTATAAAAGAGTAAATTGGGGCCTCAAGGAATTTTTGCTTGACATGGAAAGATAAAAAGATTCTTAAAAAAAAAAAAAAGCTGTATAACTTATTTTACCCTTAGTCTTTTAAACACTAGGTTTTCTATTCAACAGACCTGATTAGGTTAGCTGTCAATCAAGCTCAGAAAACTGGTGAAATTTCGAGAAAATTTTAGCACATCTGAATTCCTGCAATTCTTTTTTTACTTTCTTTCTTTTTTTTGTTTTTGAGTCTGAGTCTTGGTCTGTTGCCCAGGCTGGAGTGCAATGGGGACATCTCTGGTCACTGCAACCTCCGTTTCCTGGGTGTAAGTGACTCTCCAGCCTCAGCCTCCTGGGTAGCTGGGATTAGAGGCACCTGCCATCATGTCCAGCTAGTTTTTGTATTTTTGAAGAGATGGGGTTTCACCCTATTGGCCGGGATGGTCTCGAATTCCTCAGGTAATCCACCTGCCTCAACCTCCCAAAGTGCTGGGATTACAGATGTCCACCACCTTGCCAATCCTCTATGGTTCTTTTAGACACTGTTGTTTTACTTCGTGTCTGGTTTTTATTAAAAATTTGCGAAGTTTCCATCAGAAAATACCATAGAATTGTTCGAGTTACAAAGAATGAACAGGCAGATAAAAACAGCAAAGGTAGAAAACCACAACTTACAATCTGACCCTCAGTTCTTTACTTGGAATTTTCCATAATACCACCATTAAAAATAAATTTTCATTCTCATTCAAAAGCAACCCATAATTGTTCTTCCTGGACTTGCAATGTGTCAAGAGAGCGTCCAATGCCTTTCTAACCTGCAAAGTGGAGAAGACAAGTAAGTGAAATGTTCTCACAATAACTTACACAAATAAGTGAATGTTCCCAATCTAACTTAGCATTTGTCCCCTCCCACACTTTCTATTTTTTCCCTTCCAACTTCTATTTCAAGGGGTAACCTCCATAACCTTACCTATTAGGATCCTGCAATTTATATTCAGAGAATTCTAAGAACCCCTCAAACACGCCTAAGTATTCACACCATCTACGGCAGGGCGTCTCTTCTACTTAAGAGATTGGGCCAAACGGAAACATGCTCCTCCTGCCCTCAAAGATGAAAGCAGTAATCCCAGGAAAAGCACAAAGCGAATGCATTTAGCAGTTATTATTTCTTCCTTTTTTTTTTTTTTTTTTTTTTTTTTTTTTTTGAGACGGAGTTTCACTGTTGTCGCTCGAGCTGGAATCCAATGGCGCGATCCCGGCTCACTGCAACCTCCGCCTCCCGGGTTCCACCAATTCTCCTGCCCCAGCCTCCCAAGTAGCTGAGATTATAGATGCCCGTCACCACGCCCAGCTAATTTCTGTATTTTTAATAGAGACGGGGTTTCACCATGTTGGCCAGGCTAGTCTCGAACTTTTCACATTAGATGATCCACCCGCCTCAGCCTCCCACCGTGCTGGGATTACAGGGCCACCGCGCCCAGCCTCTCGAGTACTTTCTTACCTTGTGCCAGGCTCCTGGGCAAAATGCGGTACTCGCTTTGCCCGTTGCGATCCTGGATAGCGCGGACCGGAAGGGCCCATTTTAAATAACGGGTAACAGACCCGCTAAAGTAAGCGACTCGGCCAAGGCCTAAGTATAGGGAAGTTAAGCCAGGTCGCCAGGTCGATCTCATTTAGCTCATCATCTACTACACCTGCAACCCAATTCAAGGCCGCAGGACCGTGGGGAAGCAGGCGCCCACCCACGTATGTAAACCGTAGAGACGGCTGAGGCACACAGCCCGCCAGCTACCCTCCCAGAGCCCCGTGGGATTCTGCCTAGCACGCACTCGGGTCCCGGCACCTTGCGCCTCACGAGATGAACGCCACACCGCTTCCAAGCCACCCTTCCCAGGAACCACTCACCTGCTCTTTGTCCAGCTGCTTCCGTGTTGTCGGGGCAGCTGGAGTCGAGGTGGAGGTTGCATTCGCGGCTGAAGATGACAGCGGCGTGGAGGCCGAGTCCTCCATTTTGCTTTCACCTCGTGAACGTGCGCGTGCGGAACCCCGCTACTTAATTCTGAGGCGCACGCGCGAGCGAGGCACAGACCCGGAAGCGAGGGGGCGGGAACCGAGCCCCTGTGCGTCATTTCCGGGAGGGCGCACGGTTCCGTTCTCAGAGGCTGTGGTGGCTGTCAGAGTGCCTTCCCTGAGGCGGCACTTCTCATTCCGCTCTTCTCCCGCTTTCCATGAGGTGTGGGGAGTAGCCTGGGTGTCCCCTTACTCTTACACCATAGAAATCAAGAAAGTTCCTTGAGGCGGGAGAACAGTCCCGTCAGGCGGCCCAGCGGTGTCCCCCGCACGCCATGGTCCCCGCCTCTGTGAAGGCCGCGTGTGGCGCGGGCAGAGTGCCGAGTCCTGGCTCCACCTCCCACCTGCCGGTTGAGTTTCGGTGACTCCAACCCCAGCCTGGTGGGGAATCCATGAAATAAAAGGCACAGGAGTCACCCGGCGCATTTCGTTAAGCGTCATGAGGGACCGAAAGATGCGTTGGAGCCAGTCTCTTAAGCAGCTTCTGGTCTCGCAGAGTGGCGGGAGGTAAGAGCCTATACAAATTAGCGTGGTTGGCCGGGCGCGTGGCTGACGCCAGGAATCCCAGCGCTGTGGGAGGCCAAGGCGGAAGGATTCCAGGAGTTGGAGACCAGCCTGTGCGATATACGAGACTCCGTCTCCAAAAAATAAAAAGATTAGCCGGCGTGGTGGTGCTCACCTGTAGAACCAGCTGCTTGGGAGGCAGAGGCTAGAGGATCGCTTGAGCCCAGGAATTCGAGGCTCAGTGAGTTATGGTCGCGCCACTGTAGTCCAGCGTATCCTTTAGAACGACACCTTGTCGCTAAACAAAGAACTAAGAGTGGAGGCTGGATAACTGACAAATGGAATACCGTAGAACAGGGGAGTCCAATCTTTTGGCTTCCATGGGCCACACATAAAATACATTAATACTAATGATAGCTGATGAGCTTTAAAAAAAATATCGCAAGGCCGGGCGTGGTTGCTCACTCCTGTAATCCAAGCACTTTGGAGGCCAAGGCGGGCGGATCACCTGAGGTCGGGAGTTCAAGACCAGCCTGACCAACTTGGTGAAACCCCATCTTAAAAAAAATAAAAATCGCAAAAGAAAATCTCATAATGGCCGGGCGCGGTGGCTCACGCCTGTAATCCCAGCACTTTGGGAGGCCAAGGTGGGTGGATCACGAGGTCAAGAGATTGAGACCATCCTGGTCAACACGGTGAAACCCCGTCTCTACTAAAACTACAAAAAATTATCTGGGCATGGTGGCGCGTGCCTGTAATCCCAGCTACTCAGGAGGCGAGGCAGGAGAATTGCCTGAACCCAGGAGGCAGAGGTTGCGGTGAGCCGAGATCGCGCCATTGCACTCCAGCCTGGGTAACAAGAGCGAAACTCCGTCTCCAAAAAAAAAAAAAAAAAAAAAAAAATCTCATAATGTTTGAAGAAAGTTTACGAATTTGAGTTGGACTGCATTCAAAGCCTGGCCTCCTGGGCTGCATGTGGCCCTTGGGTCAGACAGGCTTGCCTTGTAATGTCTTCCTCCCACTCCACCCGCCTCCCCAGAGGTAACCACCCTTTAAGGTGTCTCCTGGAACCTTCCAGAGATGTTTTAGCATTTTGAGGAGATACTTCTTTCTCTTGTTGGATGGGTTTAATTAATTAATGAATTTTTTTTTTTTTTTAAGAGGGAACCTTGCTCTGCTGCCCAGGCTGGAGTGCAGTGGCGTGATCTCGGCTTACTGCAACCTCTGCCTTTCAGGTTCAAGCAGTTCTCCTGCCTCAGCCTCCCGAGTAGCTGGAACTATAGGCTTACGCCACCACGCCCTGCTACTTTTTTTTTTTCCTTTTTGTGGAGAACAGGGTCTCACTATATTGCCCAGACAGGTCTCGAACTCCTAGGCTCAATCTATCCTCCCACCTCTGCCTCTCTAAGAGCTGGGATTACAGGCGTGAGCCACGCGCCCAGGCTTTTTTTTTTCTCCCCTGACAGTTTGTTGCCCAGACTGGAGTGCAGTGGCCTCATCTCAGCCCACCACAGCCTCCGTCTCCCAAGTTCAAGGATTCTCCTGCCTCAGCCTCAGCCTCAGCCTCAGACATGCGCCACCACGCCCAGCTAATTTTGTGTTTTTAGTATAGACGGGGTTTCTCCATGTTGGTCAGGTTGGTCTCCAACTGAAGACCTCAGGCGATCCACCCGCCTCAGCCTCCCAAAGTGCTGGGATTATAGGCATGAGCCACCATGCCCAGCCTACTGTATCTTTTGGATACAGTTACCTACAGTATTAGTACAGTAACGTGTTGTATGGATTTGTAGAGCAATAGGCTGTATCACATAGCATGGGTATGTAGCAAGCCATACCGTCTAGGCTTCTGTGAGTACACTGATATTCCCACAACCATGAAGTCACCCAAAGACACATTTCTCAGGCTGTATTCTCATCATTAAGCAACCCATGACTATATTTTGAGTTTGAAGTTAATAGTACATCGAAGTGGATCTGGAATGTGGAAGAGAATATTCTTGAACTAAAAAGGAAATTAGAAGTCATTTCCATGGAGGTGATGATTAAAACTTTGTAAATAGGTGAGATTGCAAAAAGAAGTCTAGAGGAAGAATAGAGTTGTAAAGAAACCTTCAGTAACAAACTCAGAGGAAACAGAGAAGTAGTTGAAGATGTAAAAGAAAACCAATTTAGGCCGGGCGTGGTGGCTCACGCCTGTAATCCCAGCACTTTGGGAGGCTGAGGTGGGTGGATCACCTGAGGTCAGGAGTTCAAGACCAGCTTGGCCATAGTGGTGAAACCCCATCTTAAAAAATAAAAGAAAGAAGGAAAACCAATTTAGGAAGCTGAGGCAGTCAGCTTGCTTGAGCTCAGGAGTTCAAGACTGGTCTGGGCAACATAGTGAGATCCTGTCTCTACAAAAAAATAGAAAAATTAGATGGGTGTGATGGTGTGCGCCTGTATCCCAAATACCCTTGATGTTGAAGCAGGAGGATCACTTGAGCCCAGGGCATTGAGGCTGCAGTGAGCCATAATTGTGCCACTGCACGCCAACGTAGGTGACAGAGTGAGACCTTGTCTCAAAAAAGAAGAATGAAAACCAGAGGGTGCCAGGTTACAGAAGCCATGAAGGAGTGGAGATATCTGAAGATGTGTTAACACTGATAAACACTGAAGCTGAGATGAATACATACTTATAAAAGACCATATTGTCAGCACCACAAGACAGAGTAAAAAAATTTAAAAATAAATAAATAGTCCAGGCACGGTGACTCACACCTGTAATCCCAGCACTTTGGGAGGCTGAGGAGGGAGGATTGCTTGAACCCAGGAGTTCCAGACTAGTCTGGACAACATAGCAAAATCTCATTTCTACAAAAACCAAAATAATTAATTTCAACATCCGAGTACCCAGGTCTCACTAATACCATGAATACTAATAAGTTGTTTCTCTTGGAAGGTACTAAGATACCTCTCTTCAGACTGCTTGAAATTCTTTTTTATAGGTACATAAAGTTAAGTTTATTAAGGATTTGATAAATAACTAATTGCAAAGATTGTTCAAACACGTTGCTGGATGGTAAACATAAAGTTTAAGAAACTTCATTCTTAATAATGGAACTCAGATTTTTTTATTTTTATTTTATTTTGAGACGGAGTTTCACTCTTGTCACCCAGGCTGGAGTACCGTGGCGTGATCTCGGCTCACTGTAACCTCCATCTCCTAGGTTCAAATGATTCTCCTGTCTCAGCCTCCTGAGCAGCTGGGATTATAGGCATGTGGATTATACCCAGCTTGGAACTCAGATTCTAGTTCAAAGTAAACATTTGTTGCAATTAACTAGTAACCCTAGGAAACTATTAGAAATCCTTTTTTTTATATAGCGCTGTCAAGTCAGAGTGGTTACAAATGGCAGCTAACAAAATAAATGCCATATAGTCAGTCAGCGACGTCTGGATTATCCAAAAGCAGTTTAATACTCAGCGTATTCTTGGTACTGAAATCTGCTACGTAACGTTAACCCAAACATAATGGAATCAAGAGGTGACACAATATTGCTGAAATGTAGAATGTGACATTTTAAGGAAGGTAGGGAGAACATGGTATTTTGGGTCAGAAAGATCAGTCTGAATCCCAAATCCATGATGTAGTAGTTGTTTAGCCTTGGACAAGGTGGCTAATCTCCCAAGCCTCAATGTCTTTCGTCTGTTAAATGAAGCTGATTCCCTAGGATTTAAGAGAATATATCTTCACAGTGTGTTCGTCTGTTAAATGAAGCTGGCTCCCTGGGATTTCAGAGAATATATCTTCACAACGTCTAGCATGTTCCTGATAATCGCACAAGGTTAGTTGTCTTCTTTTTACTTTTGCTAAAAATAATGTCATCATTATTAAATGGATTGGAAAAGAAATTGTGCATCGTAGGGCCCAAATGAGGTCAGGAGGCAGCTTATGTGCATTCAAGCAGAAAGAAATAGCTAATCAGTAAAGAAATTAATATTTGGGCCAGGCTTGGTGGCCCACACCTGTAATCCCAACACTTTGGGAGGCTGAGGCAGGTGGATCACAAGGTCAGGAGTTAAAGACCAGCTTGGCCAACATAGTAAAACTCCATCTTTACTAAAAATACAAAAAAATTAGCTGGGCATGGTGGTGCGTGCCTGTAGTCTCAGCTACGTGGGAGGCTAAGGCAGGAGAATCACTTGAACCTGGGAGATGGAGGTTGCAATGAGCTGAGATTGCGCCACTGCACTCCAGCTTCGGCAACAGAGTGAGACTTCGTCTCAAAAAAAAAAGAAATAGCTCTCTTCCTTTCTCCGCCATCGTGGTGTGTGCATTACTCCGTTTCTCGCCATGTCTTCTCACAAGACTTTCAGGATTAAGCGATTCCTGGCCAAGAAACAAAAGCAAAATCGTCCCATTCCCCAGTGGATTCGGATGAAAACTGGTAATAAAATCAGGTACAACTCCAAAAGGAGACATTGGAGAAGAACCAAACTTGGTCTGTAAGAAATTACACATGTGATGGCACACATATTTATGCTGTCTGTAGGTCACAGTCGTGTTACCAAATCAAGCTGAAAAATGTCACCGCCATCTGGAGAAGTTTGAACAGTTTCCTTTCTGTATCTGTTATGAAGGCATTAGTACAACGCACAGTGCTTCCATTATTCATGTTAAAAAAAAAAACAAAACAAGGTTTTGGTTGCCTGGGTTCAGTAATAAATATGTGAGACCTTTCACTTAAAAAAAAAAAAAAAAAAAAAAGAAATAATATTCGATTCTGATTTGGGGGTTGGGGGTGGACGGCTGGGGAAGAAAGAGAACAATGAGATTGCCAGAGAAAGAAATGTAAAGAAGTTTTCAATAGAAAACCTATTAAGATTGCTATTTATTTTTAACTCTTTGTCCTCGTACAATCTATGTAGCTATCACAAGCACACCATTTAGCTCCTAAGTATCATAGTGTACACCAACCCTACTTAATACGTGGTTGACAAACATTCTTAATCCAGCCAACCTGTATTTACAGGAATTATATTCCCCAAGGACTATTAAGGCCACTCTTAAAAGTGATTTCTACATTTAAGAAAATAGATTAAATAACACAAGGTTAGTTCTCTTCTGTTTGCTGAAAGAAATACCGTTAGTCTCTTTTTATCATTGACGATAACCAGCTGACCACTTGCAGGACTGTGTTCTTTTAATCACTACTGGTATATAGCTGGTAAATGTTACGACAACTCAAAATCTCAAAGTGCATCTTTATTCAAATTAGGAAAGTGTTTTTTTTACATGTTTGTTTGTTTTTTAAAAAGACGGGGTTTAACCATGTTGGTCAGGCTGGTCTTGAACTCCCGACCTCAGGTGATCCGCCCACCTTGGCCTCCAAAGTGCTTGGATTACAGGCGTGAGCTACCACGCCCAGCCTTTTTTTTTTTTTTTTTTGACATGGCATCTTGCTCTGTCGCCCAGGCTGGAGTGTAGTAGTGCGATCTCCACTCACAGCAACCTCCACCGCCCCGGTTCAGGGGATTCTCCTGCCTCAGCCTCCCAAGTAGCTGGGATCACAGGCATGCGCCACCATGCCCAGCTAATTTTTGTATTTTTAGTAGACACAGGATTTCACCATGCTAGCCAGGATGGTCTTGAACTCCTGACCTTGTGGTTCACCCGCCTCAGCCTCCCAAAGTGCTGGGATTACAGGCGTGAGCCACTGTGCCTGGCCGGGAAGTTTTACATAGCTACTATACTATAAAGTATTATGCTAGGTCATCAATAAGGGATCTATAAAAGGACTTATAGAAGTTATTCATGCACAGAATTGAATAAATCTACCAAAAAAGAAAAAGGATTTAGCCCTGAAGTTTAAAACAGTTATTTATTAGAGGTGGAAGTTAGGTTAGTCAAAATACAAAATTAGCCGGGCATAGTGGCGCATGCCTGTCATCCCTGCTACTCCAGAGGCTGAGGGAGAATCACTTGAACCTGTGAGGCGGAGGTTGCAGTGAGCCAAGATCGTGCCACTGCACTCCAGCGTGGTGATAGTGAGATTCAGTCTAAAAAAAAAAAAAAAAAGAAAAAAAAGAGGCCCCACACAGGCCTACGGGGAAGACCATCTTTAAAACTGGAAAGGGAGGTAAGAAGGAAGCTCATGTTATTTCACCACCTGTTAGGATCACTACATCATCTCTTTATCTTATGAAAGTCTTATGAAAGTAGTTAAAGGAAGAAGTAGTGAGACTTTTCTCTCTGGTTTTACTTCCTTGTATTAGATAAATTCAGAAGAAAGTTATTTGCAACTAACCTGTCAAAGAATGCTAATTGGAAAGCAAAATCAAATCTCCCTTCAAGGATAGATCATTTAGAGAATATTCATAAAATGGAGTATTACTCATTAAAAAAAATGAGCTGCTGATATGTACAACATAGTCTCTAAAATGTTATGTGCCAGAGATGACAGAATTGAGTTCAAGCTATGCGATTCCATTTATGTAGAGTTCAAAAACAGGCAAAACTATTATGATAGATGGCATAACAGCGAATGCCTTGGCAAGAGGGGATTGGTTGGAAAGTAGCACAAGAGAGCTTTCTGGGGTGATGGACATGTTCTGCAAGTTGATGGGAGTGTTTACATAGTGTATACACTTGACAAACTCATTGTAAATTTAAGATCTTTGATTTTCACTTTATGCAAATTGTACCTTAATAAAAAAAATCCTCTCCTTTGTCATACAACGTCTGTCTCCTGGAACTTCTTTACAAATCATAGTTACTCCTAAGAATCTAAATCTTTAAAGATTTCCTTTTTATTCTAAAACCTGATATATTTGCCAGGGAATTAATAAAGATAGTAAAGATAGTGATGTCATCTGCTTTTAAGTAACTTCTGTAGTATTACATATTTTCAGGGTACATGTGATCATTTGATAGATTCATATAATGTGTACAGATCAAATCGGGGTTATTGGGATATCCATTGCCTATTTATCTCCATGCTGAAAATGTTCAAATCATTTTCTTCTAATTATTTGGAAATGTGGAACTTGAGTATTTTATAAGCAAATACAAAGTAAAGTCCTTTGGGAGTACTGTGCCTAGTTAAGTGGGATGAAATCCTCATTAAAAATTGTAACTACAAGATACAAAACAAGTTAAATGTGAGTTTTTCCCCATTATGCCCTCTGAATTATTTTTACCAGTTATTACCACTAGCTTGACTCTTGACTAAGCTCAAACCAGCACAGAACTTTTAGTGAAAATGCTTTAAACATGCAAACTACTGTTATTCTGTTTGTGTTTGGGGATGATCATCGTTTGTACTGAAGGCAGATGTTAAGGGATCAAATGTGGGCAATGGGATGTTAAGAAAATGTGCAGCTAATATTAAATGTGACCCAGTGCACATAGAGGAAATTTTTGGCTTTTTTTTGTGTGTGTGTGAGATGCAGTCTTGCTTCCGTCATGCAGGCTAGAGTGCAGTGGTGTGATCTTGGCTCACTGCAACCTTTACCTCCCGAGTTCAAGCAATTCTTCCTCGGCTTTCTGAGTAGCTGGGATTACAGGCTTGCACCACCGTGCCTGGCTAAATTTAATATTTTTAGTAGAGATGGCATTTCTTCATGTTGGCCAGGCTGATCTCAAAACTCCTGACCTCATGATCCATCCGCCTCAGCCTCCCAAAGTGCTACGATTACAGGCATGAGCCACCGCACCCAGTGTGGCCTAATTTTTAACAGAAGGATCATATTTCAAATAATTCAAAAGTCTATTCATCAGCTGGAGGAATTTTGTTTACCTGTTGTAGGCAGTCTCTTATTCCTAGGAGAAAACACAGGAAAATATTTCTTGCAAGTAATGTGGGTGCACAAAGCTTTCAGGAACAATTTGAAGGAAAGAGTCACAGTGACAGGAAGTTTCACTTAAAAAGAGAGACAGCATCTCACTGTGTTGACCAGGCTAAAGTGCAGTGACAATTCACAGGCATTATCATAACCCACTGGCGCCTTGAACTCCTGGGTTCAGGTCATCTTCCCACCTCAGGAGCGGCTGGGACTACAGGTGTGTGCCACCACATCTGGCAAATTTCACTTTTAAGACCAGCACACTGAATTAACTCTACAGAGGACAAATGCAATATAAGGAAACAAAAAAAGGATGTCATAACAGTACATGACTTTTATGGTTCTTCATCAAAATGGCCATAAAGGCTTAAAAATTGTCACTAACAGGTAAATCAATCATTTTCCAGGATGTTTTTCACATGGCCAAAGAGGCTAAACTTGTTTTTTAAGACTCGTTTGGAAAGCTTTAAAATTCTATTTTGTTGTTATTTGGTTTTTATTCTAGATTGAGATACCCCCAATTCTTCACTACAGATTTACATCATCCAAGGTATTGATGCTATTTTTCCAGGTTTATTTTTGAGGGGGGATGGAGTCTGGCTCTTGTTGCCCAAACTGGAGTGCAATGGCGTGATCTTGGCTCACTGCAACTTTCGCCTCCCGGATCCAAGCAATTCTTCTGCCTAAGCTTTTTGTGTAGCTGGGATTACAGGCATGCACTTCCATGGCCAGCTAATTTTTGTCTTTTTAGTAGAGACGGGGTTTCACCATGTTGGCCAGGTGGGTCTGGAACTCCTGACCTCAAGTGATCCACCCGCCTCAGCCTCTGAAAGTGCTGGGATTACAGGCGTGATCCACCGCACCCACCCTGAACCCCTACTTTAATAGCAAGCTTGGTCCCAAGTTTTAAGCTATGATTGGTTTAATACCAAATACCTAGAGGCTGACCGCCAAAACCTCAAAGTGATTTACCTCAAACAGTTCAGACAGGAACTTAGTGAGTGAGTACACAGGAATGAATTGCTGTCATTCAGGTAGCCACTGTGTATCTTACCTTTATCATTAATTCTTGCCCTTGCACATTGAATAAAAAGGGCAGGCACTATTTGGTCTCTTGATCTTTATTAAAAATCCTGAATATAGACGTTCATAGTTCTGACAATAATGTTTCCTCAACTCACTGTTGATGACAGAAAACCACATGCTGTAATCTAGTTATTTATTATTCAGCATCTCTAACTTCCTATAGGGTTACTATTTTTGTTTCCTAAGGTGGTTGTATACATTATACTGTTGTATACACTATACAAAAGACTTGCATACCATATGCAAGCAGATGACATGCCTGTGAATCCCTTATGTGACAGCTTGTTACAGCCATCCGACAAACCTGTTGGCAGATGGTTCCAATACCTGATACAAAAATAAAAGGATTGTACAGAAAAGGGCATGACTGGCTTGTAACGACAGGTAGTTAGTTACAAAGAAACGACATATCCTTCAAAAGGAAAGATGACAACTTTTATTGTTATTACAAAAGCAAATTTAACTTGTCATTTGAGTAATTGCAAGAGCAGACTAAGGGCTTAATCCTCACACAGGCACCAAGTCAGGCACAGTAGGTAGCTACAAATCATAATAAAAAGATTTCTTTCCTACCTAGAGCACTCTTCCATGCTTTGGAATCAGACTAAAAAAACTCAGCAAACCTAATCAG